ATATATATATAGTTTCCAAAAAATATCGTAAAACATTACTTGCGCTAATATGATTTCAGACGAATTTAATCCAGCACTGCATGCTATTTCTAAGGCTGTGCTGTAATTTTTTATTGCTATTAAATCGTTAATACATCTTTGAATTTCTGTGTCAAAGTTATGCGCATTATCAATCATGGTAACGGCTTTAAAATTTAATGTTACGTCAGTCTTCTGCAGAATTTTTGTTATATCCAGTAAACATTGAAAATCCGGTACTGCACCTGTAACGTATATAATAAGTCTTACAAATTATTCTTATTATTTAACAGTACAAATTGAGAGTTATATGTATATTTTACCTGGTAAATCTGCAGAAAAGTTACATTTTATTAGCGTTTCGAAAAGTTTTACTCGTAATGACGTACTCTGAAAGCCATAGCCGAGTGCTGTAACAATGCATCGGATTGCAACAGCAGCAACCCAATACAAGTTTTTCAGATACGTGAAATGGGCACTGTCCCAGTCCATAATTCTCTAAAAATAAATTAAAACCATGATTGATGCTGTGTAAACTGATAAATTAGAAGCATTTCATTATGTGATATACATACATTACTTTTAAGTGAAGAACATTGTGATTTAAATTCTATTAAATGCTGTTGATTTTCCTTGAATTCACCGTAAGTAATTGCTTGCATCAGAAACTCGAAGAATGGATTCAAAATGCTATCCTGCAAAATATTAATACCAGTCAATACCACGAAGAACTTTCGTTGTCATTACGCTAAATTAAACTTACAGGCATAAAAATTTTGTAAGCGCGGTTAACTGTACTAATAAAACCATATTTAATCATTTTATTTAGTAATTCCGATACTTTATCGGATGGCCATATTTGTTGCTCTAAACACTCCGTGTAATCGAGAAGTATATCTTCTCTCTCTGTTGATATCGCCATCCAACAATAACAATATGCTGCCACTGATGACGGCTGTAAATAATAAAATATTTGAATTGCATAAAGAAATATAAAAAAAAAAAATGTTATTAATTTAGTGTTATCAAAATTATAAAAGTAAAATAATACCTCATAACATGTAGCTAAAATAGTCAATATGGGCCTTAGCTGTAAACGAGATGCATTGATCAATGCTCCAGGTGGATCTTGACTTTGGTGACAATTCAATATGGTTAACCATAAATTATTATCTGAGGAAGTCAAGAAGTAATTATTAGAAATATGTTCTGCATTAATTACACCGGTTGCATCAATATCAGCTTCGGATATGGATGAACTAGACGCTGGAGATTCCTAGAAGATGATATTATTTATATATAAAAATTAACATTCTTAACAAGCAATAGCAATCTTACATTTTGTTGTTCACCGATTTTGCTGTGTAATAATTTAGTATCACGGGATTTCAATCTCTGTTCATTACACGATGGAGACTTGTTGAGTCTATTATTATTTAAACACGTTAGCAAATGCTCTCGTTTGCTCACATTATTGAACAATTTGGCATATTCCAGTACCTATTGCATAATTAGATCAATAAATTGTACATTAATCAGTATAATTATGTTTAAACATACCTGTTTCGTGGGGTAAGCAAATATATGACTAACTGCAACAAATTCGAACCACAAATCATGATCTGCTAAGTGTTTTAGCAACGCACTGGGCAGCATGCAGTTGTGAACATGTGCAAAGCGTACAATAATGTCCCATGTCTTTAATGCTTCCACAAATCGCGCGTTATTAGTAATCAAAGTCTTATCTAGCAAAAGTTTTTGGAAGCTTTGTTCTAGATAGGATATCACAGTCTTTAAATCAGTTTGGTTCTTATACACCACATTTTCCAATAAGTTCCCTGTGAAATAAACAACGTTATGTACTTACAAATGTCTCTATTCTTAAATATTGTATGTATCAATTGCGTAAAATAGAAAATACTTCACCTATAGAGATGTTTAATTGTTCCTGTACATATTTCGCTATATTAACGTGTAATCGCAAGTTGCTCGAATCAATTCTCAGTAATTCAATAAAGGCAATACAACTACATACAATATCAGCTTTATCTAAATTTCTCAAAGCAAGAATATGTGCGTGTAAGGCCGCTTTGGATTTCCTAAAATTATATTTGAGCTGTTGATACTAATACTTGTAAAATAACAAATTTTTATCGCAAATACGAACCCTTGGGAAGATATGTTTCCAAGTAATTTGGCTTGAGCATGTTTTAAACTATGTGCAGCTATATTAGGTCTACTTTCTTTTAAATAATAATTATATGTCAATGTTTCCTTGTGTCCATACTTCTTAATAAGATTCTCGCTTGTGAAAGTGGGTATAGATTCATTTTTGAAATGCCATTTAAATAAGAGTTTTATATTCAGATTTTTATAACCATCCAATAATTCGTACATCGTAATATCATCTTTTTTAGTTTGCTCTTCAATGACATATTGTAGAATCGGTATTTGCGTGAGTATAAATTGAAGAACTTCTTGCGACATAACATGTGTACCAAATTTTAAAACAATTTTGTTCGTAAATATGTCTCTTATTATTTTACTTTCTATTAAAATGTTTCTTTCATTACATAACTCACTCCTCATTTGCCATAATCGTAAAAATATTAATGTTAAACTTATTAAATAATCATTTTTCAGAAAGACATTAAAATCATCGGAGAGACAATTAATCGATTCAATGATTCCATGCATTAATGCATCTTCATAATTATTTTGAATATTACACATATCAGTTAATACGTTGAATAATTCTGCAAATTTTGTAATATCTTCTTGAGTATATTTTTGCAAGCAATATGTAAGGCACGACTGTTGATCAATGGTTTGTAAGAATCTCGTTTTATCAATGTTGCAAGATGATAAAGATAATATCGTACTGAGTTTTTCCAGTGTAATGCCACAAGCAAAGCAACGATTTAATAATAATTTAAAATTATTTTCTTCTTCTTTCTTATATATCCCATATCTAAAATAATAAATTTATATATTTTTTTTTATAATATATATTCTATCAATAAAATATGTATATGTCAAGTAACTATTATACATACCTACATAAATGATTTTGAATCAAATTTTTTACCAGATTACTAGCGTTTGATGAATCTATATATTCAACCATATCTGATGTAATATTCAGATTGGCAAATAACACTTTTAAATGATTCTCAATTTTATCTGAGTTCTGCAAGCTATTTGGATTATATCTGACATCAATCCATAGCTTCAATATATTACTTTTATTGTTAGATAATAAATAATCCCATAAAATCATATTTGACACATTTCCCAAAATCTTTGGGTCATTCAAAGAAAAATATAATTCAGTGCATAAGCATTGTTTAACATTCTGTGACAATCTCATTACATCATCTATACATATATTAGAACTTAATGAGCTTTGAATTCTACAACAAAAAAATTTTTCTTAATTTTTTTCTTATTATATAAGTGATATATATTTTACAGTATGTCTAAAAATGATATTTTTTGTGTGTAAATGTCATTTATTGGCAATTAGTGGTGTTTTAAAGTTATATATTTACTTTAACAAATTAGTTACACATGTAGTTTCAAAACGCCACTAATTGTTGAAGAGAACACTTGTACAAAAAATAACATATCGTGTATAATTTTATAAACTTACTTGTATTTTTCCTCATACTGTGTAACAGATTTGACAATATTCCATGCAGCAACATGTTCAGTCTCAAATCTATTAACATTTATCATATATTCACATAAATAATTTCTTAAGAGAGGATCTTTGCTTTTCATGGAAACAGCAAAAATATATTCCACAGAGTCTTTTCCCTAAAAACAAATAATTTTATAATTAACAATTATCATTAAAAGGTATAAAATATACGTCATATATAGCATACCGTATTCTTTAATATATGCGAAGCTCTATAAATTTGTTTTTTATTTAGTAATTCATTGATCCAATTTTCTACTTCTTTGTTGAAATATATACATGCTTGCTCTACAGAGCAATGCCTTCTGTATGCAAGACATTTGTAAGCTAGTTTTATATGAGTTCCTTTGGCAGAGGCTTCTCTCACAAGTTCTCTGTCGCCCAATGTCCGCCAACCAGACCATATTGCAGCTGATTGTCCAGTTAGACATTCCACAGGAACACCTCCCACAATTTTTTTCTCAGCCATTTTGCTGTAGTAGCTATGTAACACAATATAATTTTTATATAAATTTACTAATACTTAATGTACCAATATCTTAAGAAAGTTATAATATTTGTTTAATAAATATTAAAAGATGATATGTAGAAAGAAAAATTTTTACATTTTTATAATAACCATGATTTTTTTTTATCAAAAAAGTTCTTTGTTAAAAATTACACAGAATTATTCAATCACATTTGATTATCACATTATATTAATGTTATCAAAATATACTTACACAGTTTATCACAATTTTACAACATATTTTAGGCATATATCTTTTCGCATAGTTGAATTTTAAAGAAATTAAATAAATTTTTACACAAGATAAATCTGATAAAATGTAGACCAATATAACAAAAGATAGGTTAGAATAAAATAAAAACGCACTATTGGAAAAACTAAAACACAGTTATTGACATATTATATTCACACTCTCATAAACGTTCACAAAGAATATAATTATTTATCTACACAAGTTTTTATTTGAAATATAATCAACATTTCGGTTACATCCTATGTTTATAAAAAGCACCAGTCAATCTTGTTTCTCCGACATTAGTAAACTTTACCGACCATCGGTAACAATAGCGATCAGCTGATGTAATTGTTCATGGTTTCGCCACTACGTGAAATGACATGTAGACATTAGCAATACTGTGGTCGGATAAGGTCGGATACTGTTAGGTTAAAAATTTTGTATGTTTTATTTTATTTTATCTTTTTTATTTTTTTTTCTTCGAAAAAAAAGATATAGAATTGTGTGTGGTGTGTCATGCGTGCATCTGTGTGTGTTTATTCTATTCTTCTCGAGTGATCCCGATGTTGGAGTTAGCTGACAAGATAACAACATACCCCAGTTGACCCTGTTCAACCCTGTCAGCTGATCAGCTGGTCGTAATATCGTCATAGCAGTAAGTAATACTAACAATAAGAATGATTACGCGACAATTATGTGTGTCACACATATGTACACGTATACACATACGTTGTGTTTATTCATAAACTTTGAAATCTAATAACTGGGTCAAAAATTGACGTAGCGACATGCGACAAAAATAAATCTTCTACATTTCGCATTTCATAGATTCTTGTGCACAGAACATGTGTTCTTATAATGGTACATATACTTATGTAATATATAAAATGATAGATTCATTGTGCTGGCCAATAGTAAATGTTTCGTGCTCTTACGCTATCATATCGAGAGAATTACCCAATTCAATATTATATTTAATTTTTCCTTTTTTTCAATGATCCATAATGTGAAATAAATGTATTTTTATCATATACAATACACTGTAAAAGATTAAAAAAATATTATATAAATAAAATTTATATAATTTTTAAAAGGAAGCTTTTCAAAACACAATCGGGTTTTTTAAGAATATATAATAAGAAATGTATTTTATTGAAAATTAGTTATCTCATTAAAATGTTATATTGATCTATAAAAATTCTACGCTGATAGGAGGCGGCACATTTAAGATTGTCCTTTTACACATCTGCCATAGTATTTCAATTATTTCACATTACTAATGTCCGAAGGAAGCTTAGATACGCTAAACTTGTTTTGAGTACCTAATAAAAAAAGTTACGGTAATATAATATATTTATTTTTTTTTAACCATTTAATTTCTTAGCTCTATATAAATCTATATAAATGTGCGTTTTAAATTATTTAAAATTATTACGAGTATAATAATATATGAATAATCTATAATTCTTACATTTCCAAAAGTTGCCAATGATAAATCAAACATATTGCCGGCACTAATCTTTATAGGATGGCTGGACATTGCAATTACTAAAATTAGACTGCGAATTGATTTTGGCGGCAATTGATACCAATCTATCATAAAACACATTGATCCAATCTGGCTGCTCTGAAATGTTATCCATGAAAATGTATTTCACAATAGGTTTGATCTGGTTTTTCTGTTAGTTTAACTTGATTCTTGCAATCGACATTAAAAAGTTGAAGAGTCAAATATACCTTTTCCATGAGCAATTCGCCAGTGTAACATAATATATACATATTGAAGCAGAATGAAATAAAAAGTAAAAAATAAGTCGTCAATCCAACTGTATCACTATCTTGCCAATCCTATCAAATTATAAATAACGATTATAATTTTAAAAAATTTCCTAGAAATAAATTATTTTTTACGTGTATTAACGTACCACTATACAATAGTATTCAGGCAAGCACATTGTGAATATCGAACTGACGAATTCCAGTAAACATACTTCTTGTAGAATTTCTTCCACGGCTACCGAAAATCTGAAACAGTCTGCTATTATTTGCACATAATAAGCTGATCTTTATAAGTTCCATTTTTATTTTCTCTTTTTTAAGAAAAATTGAATTTTATCATTTTGCAATAGTTTAATAAATAGTTAATAAAAATTAAAAAAATCTAAATAAAAAAGTTCTTTTTCTATTCTCGTTTTGTTGCATTTCACGATAAAACTTGACGTCAAACTAGATGAAAATTAGCACATAAAACAAAAGTTTATCCATTTATATAAATCTGATCTTGCTTTGTCAAATTTCCACTTAGCCTATTTTAAGAATTTTTTTACTTATTAAAAAATTTCTTATTGGGAAAAAAACTGTGACTGATAAGAAATTAAAGACTACAATTTTTTAATTCTTTGTAAACTTTGGACACGAAATTTATCATGATAAAGTCTTTAAACTCGGAATAAATATCATAATTATCGCAACTACATGGAAAAATATACGTTATTAAAATATACGTTATTAAAATTTTTATATTATTATAAATTAAACATTTTTATCTAATTTTTATATGTATCTTACTTGTCGCATAAAATCCGCGTTTATATATGTATATGTAAGTACACGTGAACGATAGCGCATGCTCACAGTTCGTGCTTAAGTATAACTACTACCACTCAAGTGCATTCGAAGTCTGTTATATACACCTGTTGCACACACCTGTTTATCCGTCTCATTGTGCAACAAGTGATAAAAATTTATTCAGTTAAGTTTTCGCTATTTTATTCATCTAAAGTTTTTTTTGTTTTTTATTTTTTTAGATTCATTTTTTATTTATACTCTAACACTCTTGACAATGCAATAAAAATATTTCAAGATTGAAGCGGAATTAAGGATATAAAAGTTTCAGCGTTTTGATGAATATAATATAAAATGGTGCCGACATTAACGTAACGTAACATTAACTATTTAATTTTAAATTAGATAAATGCGTAAAAATTAAATTTTTTTTATTATAAAATATACAATATACGTATCTTTTAATATAGGCTCAAAATAAAATAATTTAAAATAACTAAAAAATAACTTAATAGTTAAGTTTGAAATAGTTTTTAATTTTTTATATTAATATATTATTATAAGCTTATTAAAAAGAACTTAAATATTTTAACGTATTACGCGGTAATATCAATATGTTACCTCAATACTTGAACGTGGCTTTTCACGATGTTTGCGATTCGTTGGTTAACATTCGATGATTTCTCGAAGTTTTTGCCTTGTGAAAGATCCTCAAGTCGAGATGCGATTATGTCGATCTGACCGCATGCATGAGTGACGAATATTGCTGCCAGTCCGCACAAACCGGCCGTGACCGAGTACATGGTGTATCCACACACGCAGTGGGCCAAATACACTATTTCGTATACGGGACTCATTTGGGTCTGATAAAACTTACTGTAAGTTGGATACACGAGTGGTCTGATTGTTTGGTTGTTGACTTCATGCACAGTACAAAACGGCAAAATCGTGTGGTAAATGAAACCGGCGATGTACATAGAACTCGCGCTGATTATAGACAGTTTACGACCAATGCCAGCGTACTTCAGCATAAGTTCGCGGTCGGAGCTGAATTTCACCTGTCACAGTATTGCTAGTAACCCTATTTACCAAGAGATGAGAGACAGTAATCACCATTTATCATAAATTGTGTAATAAATTATTTAAAACACAATATCACAAGATCTGCTTTAATACATATGATCAACGAGCGGAAAAGTATTTAAGACTTTTGAATTAGATTTTAAAATGTATTTTGTCGATACGTGCAAATCTAGTTTAGCACTATTGTTTAATTAAAGAAATTATAATTTATATTATAATCTTGATAAGAAAAGAAAACTCTTAATTAAGACAGTCGTGTCTTGCGAATAAAGTCATGCGCAACTGTAAGTGAATTGACATCAGCTAACGAAAGTATATTCTGTTGCAACGCTAATTTTTGACACTCAAAACATATTACAGATGAAAATAGAGTGATAAAATTATATAACAATGACATTATATATATTAAATAAACTGATAATATGCAGATATGGAGTTCGTTGTTTTAAGAAATCAGATAATTGCAAAATCAAGATCACTTTAATTTCTCGCGGTTGCAAAAGAATGAAGAACTAGCATTTATCAATACTTTATGAAAAATTAGATTTGTCGATTCCGTACTGCATTTCATGTACTAACCTGCCACCAATCACTCTTCACATGCTCGATGCAGCGCATTATTTTGGGCCGACGTAGCGCGAGAACACAATACTTCATCATCGACATGAGGCAGAAGCCTAGCAGACCGGAGAGCTTCAGTCTTATGTTGAGATCTTTCTCATCATAGACGATGTGTAGGATGCAGGGCACTATCGCGAAGCTTAATGCAAAATTGCAGATTATTATCGCTATTTTGGATATATTTCGCCCGATTCCGCGAATCGCGAGTGGCCAGATGCCAATTGAACCAAGAATCCAACTGCATGGTCTAAAGACATATTGCATGTCTTGCTGATAATTTGCGTTTGGCAACGTTGTATATTCCACACCTGAGTTTCCCATGTTTGCGATGACAGATTCCACTGAAGACTGCACGAGGTAGCAAGACGCGCGGCATTGATTGCAAAGCTGCCGGACGTGCGCTTGCGCTTGAAACATTTTTCCGCTTCTTAATAGACATTCTGACAGATTGTGTGCGTGCGATCCACCGAGAAGTAGTCATGCACGGTGTGCTGTACATTTCGACGGATCTAAATTCAGGAATCATCTTTACTTTGTTCAATTTTATCCAAATTTGATTCCTTGAGAAATTTTACAACGTAAACTAACGCAAAGTTTTAGTGAAAAAAGGTATTTACAGGTATTAACATTTTTTGTTTTATTTAAATGTCAAAAAATAGAAATTGTTTTTCTAATGTATTGATTTCGGCAATGGAAAAAAGAAACGGAAAGTGATTATAAATACACATTCTGATAACAACATGATGTTATTTCATGTGTATTATAATATATAAGATAATTTTACATTTAATGGATATGCTAGCTTTGAATTCAAAATAATTTTTTATATGTCACATAATTCGAATTATATTTACATTACTAATGTTCGTAGGAAGCTCAGATATGCCAAGCTAGTCTTTAGTACCTAAAAAAAATATGTTAAAGTAATATGATTTTACAGGTATGCTTTAACTGTTTGCATATTTTTAAATGAAATATTATTATGTAAAAGAATCGTGAAATAGTTTTTCAATTTTTTAGTTATTTGTTATAAAATTATTGTGAGTTTTATTTCAATTTTGAAGATAAAATTAGAATTGTAGTGCACAATGAAACGTATATAGCGCCTTACATTTCCAAAAGTTGTCAGTGACAGATCTGCCATTCTACCAGCAGTGATTTTTATAGGATGGCCAGACATGGCAAGTATCAATATAAAACTGCGAGCTGATTTTGGTGACAATTCATACCAATTAATCATATAGCATATCGATCCAATTTGACTGCTCTGCAACATTTATCACAAATGATTATTCAGTGCGAACATCTAAATTAAGCATTGTATAATCAGTGAAACAAAAATATACCTTTTCCATAAGAAGCTCGCCAATATAGCATAATATGTATATATTAAAACAAAACGAAACAAACAGCATGAAATAAGTCGTTAAACCAATTCTATCATCCGCTTGCCAATCCTAACAAATAACAAAACATAAATAATTGCGTATTGTAAGCAAATATCTATAATTGTACAGGATTTGCCGTTAAAAGTATTCTTTTTTTTAATTATAATTTTTTTTAAATTTTTTTATATATACTAACGCACCACTATACAGTAGTATTCGAGCAAACATATAGTGCAGACAGAACTAGCGAACTCCACTAAACACACTTCTTGTAAAACTTCTTCGATAACGGCCGCAAATCTGTAAGAAGTTATTCTAGTTTTTGAAAAAAAATCACAATATATTCTCTTTAATTTTATGATATTAGCCATGTAATTATATGTTTTGCTGTATGATAGAAGTAAGCTTGTGCCTATAACTGTACCTACAATCTGACATGTGCAACGGAATAATAATCTACGAGAACGTACTGAAGGCTTGCTGAGACCACCTGTTTGCGCACTTATTCTTTTATTATATTTTTTGTGCAACAAAGTAATAATAATGAAACAAATTACATGAAGAGACTTACGCAGTTAAACTTTTTAGTATTAAATCAAATTAAAAATAGTAAAATTATTTTTTTGCTAAAATAATTATGTGTATATGGAACTATAGACTGCACTATATGAAAATGAAATTGTTAGTATATTATTAAATAATCCTGATTTTTTAAAAATTATTTTAGGATCAAATTGATACAAAGTGTATTTTTCAATTTTTATATATACAACAATTTTAAAGGTATTACACACCTTATTACTCGAACGTGGCCCTTCACAATGGCAGCGATTCGTTGTTGAACGTTGAGGGTTTGCTCGAACTTGTCACCGTCTAAGAGATTTTCCAATTGTGCTATGATCATTTGGATCTGGCCGCAGGCGTGAGTAGTGAACAGAGCGGCTAATCCGCACGCACCGGCTGTTACCGAACATATAGTGTATCCACACATGCAATGCGCTACGTATACGAGTTCGTATATTGGGCTAATTTGAGACTGATAAAATTTACTATAAACCGGATACACGAGTGGTCTGATGGTTTGATTGTTTATTTTATGTTCCGAACAAAACGGCAGAATCATATGATAAACGATGCCGGCGATGTACATGAAAGACACGCCGATTATCGTTAAATTGCGACCGGTGGTAGCGTACTTTAGCATCAGTTCACGATCAGTCCTAAATGTCACCTGTATTATCAGTATCTTTTATTTACCGACAGACGAAATGTAGTAATCATTATTTGCTAACTTAACACACTAATCTTTTTCTTTACAAATCTACATTTTAACAAAAGAAAACGAAATTAATTAACCGTATCTTCAATTTTTACTACTCAATGTTAAATATGATATAATTATCACACTGTATAATTACATAAAACAGATGCACTAAGAATCTAAACTCTAAAAGATCGAATTATTTGAAAAAAAGGCGGAATTACTTCATTCACATTATTGTTTCATCTTATTTAATCCGATTCTTAGTATCTTATAATGAATTTTGCACGTGCTCCGTGTTTATACCGACCTGCCACCAATCACTTTTTACGTATTCGATGCAGCGCAGTATTTTAGGACGACGTATCGCGAGGATGCAATACTTCGTCATTGCGGTGAGGCAGAAGACTAAAAGACCGCACAGCTTCAGTCTCATGGTGATGTCCTTCTCGTCGTAGATGATATGTAGAGCGCAAGGCACTATCGCGAAGCTTAATGCTAGATTGAAGATTACTATCACGATTTTAGATGCGTGTTGCCCGATTCCTCTGATTGCAATTGGCCAGATGCCGAGTGAACCTAGGATCCAACTGTTCAGCTTAAAGATATATCGAATATCTCGCTGATAGCTAGAGTTTTGCGACGTCGCGTGTTCGTCGTGCACACTTGACATGTTTATTACTACCGTGTGCACTACTATCAGTTGAAGACTATACGCGGTGAACACGCGATATTGATTTCAAGGTTGCCTGACATGCGCTTGTGCTAGCATTGCAGGCATTCGTCCGCTGATATTCTGACAGATCGTGTGTGTGTGTGTGCAATTAATCAGGAAGTGATCGTGCAAGTTATACCTTACAAACTTGGCAGTTGAAAAGCAAAAGGGCATTTTAACATTTTGCTCTGACTTAGCCGAATCCAATAAGTTATTTGAGAAACCAAATATGTTAATGAATAGTTTGGATGAAATGGAAAAACTATTTGTAGTTTATATTTTTGATTTCTCTCTGCAAGCTAAAGTGGTAAATTGCTTATCATATCTTTTACGAAACATAAACGAAGAGGAGTTGTTTAATTAATTGTATGTGATGTATGTGAGGTTTGTGGATAATGCATTAACAACACAAACCGAGAAAAGAATACATAGAAATTTAATATTGATGTCTCAGGGATTCGTAATCAGTACAGTGTCGGCTCGATGTTTGCTATATAACTTTTGATGTGGCGGAATACTGCATGCCAATATTAATATTGGGATGATAAGTCTGGCGCAGTGATCGTGATCATTATCGCATCGGTAGTAGAATTCTAACATTGCCCCAATATCGTTTCTGCCAGTATCAGTCGACTGCAACTGTTGTGCACACATTTATTTTTGAAAAATAAAAATGTGATTTTGAATTAAATTTGAGTACGTTAAAAATGATTGTGAATATAAAATGAAAAAGATATTAAGACGATACTTAAATATATTATTATTAATTTATTTGATCTTTTCTGTTACATATATATTTGATATTATTACATTATAATTTTCTTCTTACGAATATGTCTAAAAAGAAATATTTTTGTTAAAATATACTTACATGAAAATTTATATTTGCAATGCCATAAACTCGTTTGATAAACACTCATTTTGATGCTCATGTAATCAATGAGTTTCATTCGTAAACGATAGTTCGAAATAAATTTAAGTATGCGACTGAAATTTTTAAAATCTATAATTATAATAAATATGTCGTAATAATTTTCGAACGTACCTTTCCGTCTTCTACGTTACAATAAATCGTACTTACGTTGCCAAAACTAGAGAAGGATAGATTAATTAATTTCCCTGCCGAAATTTTTATTGGATGATGGGACATACTGATCATTAATGTAAGATCGAGTGCAATTTTTTCTCGTAAATGATACCATTCGATTTTATATGAAGGGTGTCCGACTTTATTACATTAAATATTTAATTTACATATTTGCATGGTACATACATATATGTGATTTATGTATTTTATATATATGTGTATGTGTGTGATTTTTATACATTACACAAATTTTACATAATAAGCAACATTATAATCTATTTTTCTCTGCTATTAAAAGTTGAAAAATAAGCACTTGTTCTGTTAGCTGTTCACCGATATAGCAAAACATAAAAATGTTAAAGACAAACGATAGCAATGAAAGAAATATGTCAGAATTGCTATGCAATCTGCAAAATCTTCTAGTATAAATATTATCCCATTTAATGAATTAAAAAGAGCTAATTTTTTACAGGAAGCTATAATTTTTCTTTATCTATTTTCTATAATAATTAATGAATGCAGCTAATAGAATCTAAATTTATTTACATACATTTTTAAATTTCTCTACATTTCTAAAGTTAAGATTTTTTCTATTTTTCTTTATATACATATGTGTATTTTAGTAATCTACTACTGACGTATCTTTAACTGCTTACACAGTCACAATCGATAGCACAGTTAGTTCTTTCAGCAATGATATGCAACAGGTTGCCAAGAAGGCACTCAACTCAATGTATGCACATGATGTTTCACAATGAGTGCTATATGTTGCTCGGAACTTATTGTTTTGTACGTTCTTCACGAAGTTTCCACACGAGCCATCACGATTCCGATCTGGCTACAGACACGAGCCACGGACATAGCTGTCAAGCACACCGCCGTGGTGACGTTAAACATGACAATCCCGGAAAAGCATTACGCGCAAAAGACGAACACATAAGCTGGCGTGAAATGCAAATTGAAAATGATATCAAAACTAGGATAAGCCACCGGGCCGACAGTGACATTTTGCTGGCCGTTGGGTCTTTGCGATAAAAATCGGCATCACAATGCGATAAGACAAGCCTCTGCTATACATAAACACTATACAGAATTTGGATAGCACATGCTTTTTTGCCGCATTTCTCATCATAATTTTCCGATGATCTTGCTGAATCACGCGCCAATCGATACTCAAAATGCGGATACATTGCCAAATATTCTTATAACGAACTATCAGGAAGAAATATTTTAGCATTGACGTGACTACATAGCCTAGCGGATCCAGCAACTTTACTTTATCGTTTATGACACTCTGATCTGAGAGAGTGTAGATAGCCATTGGAATTAGAAGAAAACTGAGTGCTGACCAGCATGAGGAAAACGAAATTGTCACCAGAATTTTTTCAATTGTCGAAGTGTCTGAATACACCAAATTCCAAGGACTCTCAAAATCCATCGATTCCACATTAATGCGTTGATTAGGTTTCTCTCGCAGTTCACATTTGACCAGAGGATATTAACAATCTTGGCCATACTATCGTTTTAAAAGCGCGTAAGCGACTGGTACTGTCGATTGCAGTGACAGTAAAAAGAATTGCGCATCACTGCAGGTGCTTTCAACAAAGTATAGACAGAAAGGGAGAAAGATAGTATGCGTGCGCGTTAGAAAAATCAATTTTGTCGCAGGATAGTATTGATACAGTTGCAAGTTACTGTAACACAGTTGCAAGTTACCGTAACTATGTAAGGAAAGTATTTCTAAAGAATCTAAAACTATAATTGTGTTATTTCCGCATATTTTTTTCACTTGACTGACCAAATTCTTTTTTTTTAAGCAAATAATAAAATCTTATTAGTACTGAAAATAGAAAATCGTGAAAAAGTGAAAAAGTGAAAGATAAATGTTATATTTTAAAACAAGCAAATTTTTGGAACTCTAAAAATTAAATTAAAAAATATTGCTTTAGAAATTTTTTATAAATAAATATATTATCTTTTAAATTATATGAGTTATATTATAATTATCTTCTGAAGACATGCAAATAACAAAATGAAACATCTCTAAATTATTTTTAACAAATCTTACATTTTTAATTAAAAAATGTATGTATATTATAATTTGTGATATGCAGTATCATTTTAGTATTATTTATCATTAAATGATTTATTAAATATACGTATATTTTTATTTTAAAAATGTTTATTCATCGTAAATTGCTTTTTGATTAGAGACAGTGTGAACGGCTATATATAATTTCGCATATATTAAATGGCAGTTCGAAGTAAGTTCATATATGCAAGCGAAGTTTTTAAAACCTATAAAGTGCGGTACAAGGAATATTTGTATTACTATCTGAGTGTTAGATATAAATTTTTATACTTATTTGAGTTTTACTATTCGCTGTCTAGAATGTGTCAATTACGCTTTTATATATTGTAACTCTTTACATAAACTACATTCTATATAACTTTATATTATAAACTCAATGATAAATTGTACTTACGTTGCCAAAATTAGCAAAAGAGAGATTTATTAATTTCCCAGCGGTAATTTGTATTGGATAACGAGACATAGTAATCATCAACATAAGATCAAGAGCTGTCTTTCCCGGCAATTTGTACCATTCGATTTTATACGTAGTATGTCCGACTTTGCTACACTAGATATTCAATTTATATTCATATAATTGCAGATAGCAAATTATACGTGCCAGTAATTATGAAAGCAGACTGACAATAAATAAAAAACCTTCAGAAATTGAATGTATTATATTATTATATTCTGTATTAGATACGTCTACATTATAATAATGTGGAGCTATTGTTGAAAAATAGTTGAAAATTGAACCGCTTAATGGTATTGGTAATTGTATTGTTAAACAGAATTTAGTTCATGTTTATTTTGACAGTGGTCTAAATCACTCGCTCTCTGGCAAATTTCTATTTTATGATATAATGAATATTTTGAAGCTCTCGAGATTTCAGAATTGGAAATTCTGCTATTGGAGAATAAGAAAACTAGAATATTGTTGAAAATGTATTCACATAATTGTTCTTAAAAGAGGTATGTTATTTACTTTTGAGGCCTCTTTTCTGTGTTTTAATTGATTAATTCGCGTTGCGCGTTACTATAAAGTGTAAATATTGTAGATATGCTTATCTTTAATTTGTTTTTGAATAAAATTTGATATTTTTTGTTCTAAGTAATTTTTAAGATTTATCATTAATTTTCAAAACAATCTAACAATAAGTCATTTGAGATATCAAAAATATATGAGCGCTTCACTTTCATAATCATCAGTACATATATCAATATATCAAATAAATGTTTAAAATCAACTAAAATATAGCGAAATTATCATAATTAATAGCATAACGTGTTATTATATAACAGCAAAAATAAATTAACAGAAAAAAGGCTATAAGAACCAAAGCACGGATGTCGGCAGAGATCGGCAAAAAATTAATAATAAATTAATATTATTTAATTATTTAATTAATTATTTATCACAGAAAAATATTTTCCGATTACTCGATTAACCAATAATCAAACTCGAAAATTATTTGATTACTTTATCAAGCAGTAATCAGAAAATAAAATTTTTGATTACTCGATTAATTGGTAATCAAACTCGAAAATTATTTGATTATTTTATCAATCAGTAATCAGAAAATAAAATTTTTGATTACTCGATTAATCGGTAATCAAACTCGAAAATTATTTGATTACTTTATCAATCAGTAATTAGAAAATAAAATTTTAATTACTTGATTAATCGGTAATCAGAAGGAAATAATTTCAATTACTTGATTACTCAATAATCGAGGTCTGATGTTTCTTGATTATTTTAGTTAATTTATAAGCATACGGCTCCAGTCGAAAGAATGTTTAGTTGCCACCATGTTTGATGCTGCAAAATTTAATCGGCTGACAGATGACAATTTTGAAAAAAAGAGTAACTGTACAAAAGCGAATTGTATCTTTGGGAGAAACGTAAAAAAT